ATGCTCCCCTCAAACTTTGGGGTTGGCACAGGGCAGCAGGTGGCCTTTATGGGGAGGAGCTTCATTTCCAGATCCCCTGCGGGTAGCTGTTAAGAATCCTGGGGATTAGAGAATTGGGGGTTTGAGGATGGGTCTAGGCCAAGACTCTCAAACTCTAAAGCAGAGGTCAGGGGAGGGACAATACTTTGCATAGTCAGGCAGTTTTGATGGTGGGACGCTGACACTCCACCAACCCCTCACTCCCCATGGGAGGCAGTGTGGTGTGCCAGTTCAGAGAGACGGCCTGGTTCCAGTCCTGGGGCATGCTGCCCACTGTGATCTTGGACAAGCATCTTAGTATCCCATCCAAGAGATGGATTTGATAATAAGACTTGGTTCATAAGGTTGCTGCCATCAGGATTAAATGATTTAATGCAGATAAAATACGCTGAGTGGGATCTGGCCCTTAGGGAGGATAAATACGTGTTAGCTGATGTTGGTTGTTAAATACCAAAGTTGTTCCTCCTACAGGGATAGTCTGACTTCTTCCCTGATGTGGGTGCTCTTTGTGCCGAGCTGGATACAGAGCATCTTCGCCTTTGCAATCAGGCTTTCTTTCTATTTTTCTTTTTTATTGCAGTGAAAAGACTTAACACAAGATCTAGCATGATAACACATTCTTTTTTCTTTTTTCTTTTTTTATTAAGGTATCATTGATGTACACTCTTATGGCACAAGAAAAACAATGTGGTTATTACATTCATCCTTATTATTGAGTTCCCCCCATACTCCATTGCAGTCACTGTCCATCAGTGTAGTAAGATGCCACAGAGTCCCTACTTTTCTTCTCTGAGCTACACTGTCTTCCCTGTGACCCCCCCACACACCATGTGCACCAATCATACCCCACAATCCCCTTCTCCCTCCCCCACTCCTCTCCTTTGGTAACCACTAGTCCCTTCTTGGAGTCTGTGAGTCTGCTGCTATTTTGTTCCTTCAGTTTTGCTTCATTGTTATACTCCACAGATGAGGGAAATCATTTGGTACTTGTTTTTCTCCACCTGACTTATTTCACTGAGCATAATACCCTCTAGCTCCATCCATGTTGTTGCAAATGGTAGGATTTGTTTATTTCTTATGGCTGAATAATATTCCATTGGTAACACATTCTTAAGTGCATAACACGTATTGACACGTCCAACAGAGTCTAGAGTATACTCACCATGCATGTCTGAAATGGAATGGAATCTGGAACAAGTGCAAACATGGTCAGTGATCTTTGGCCAGGAGGCCAAGGCTACAGTCTCTTCCATGGGTGTTTCTGGAGCCTCGAATGGCCCGTGCACACACAGGGCACCAAATTCAACTCAAAGTGGATCAAAGATTTACATCTCCATAAGACATGGAGCTGTAAACCCCTGGAGGAAAACGGGAAGCTCCAGTTTTGGTAGTGGTTTCTTGGAGATGACCCCTCTTGTCCTTCATGTCCCCACACGCTGTCCTGGGCCCTTTGTGCCAGTGCAAAGACTTTCCAGGCACTGAGGGCAAGAGACTGTGTGGTGTGATGGTTAGATGTGGCCATGGCTCTGGGCTCTGTTATTCATGAGTCGTGTGGCCTCGGGTTCCCATCTATCTGCACAGTGTGGGTGGGACAATGGTGTAGACATGACGGGCAGCACCGAGGCATGGCCTGAAGTGCACTTGGCACCATGAACACGGCTGCTGCTGCTGATGCCATCACACAGTTGGAGGGCCTTTCAGTGCTGCCAGCTGAGCGCCCCTGACCGTACCCGCTGCTCCTGTTTCTGGGGAGATCTCAGCCACCAAGTGCCGGGGGATGGAGGCAACTACTCTACACCCACTACTCCAGACTGACATATTCCCAGTTTGCTTTTCTGTTCCACAGTCCGGTTCATCCCCAGCCACTCATGAGGGCCTCTCAGCCCCTGAGGCTGATTAGAAGAGAGTCGAGGGCCACAATTATGATGTGGAAGAAAGGAGAGGCCGCTGGAGTCATGGTCCAAACACGTGGCTGTGAGTGCGGGCTTAACGTCACCTAAGCCCCTGCCACGGAATCCTGCTGCACCACTCGGAGGCCCCTCCTGGGGTATGTCCAAGGGGTGCAATCTGGGCCACTTGGTTAACTTTCCGTCTCTGAAATGGCAGGTGAAATAGGAAGTGGACTATTGGACCCTCTTGTAATCTTGTAATCATAATGTTGCACCTTTACGTGGCTCAGAACAAGCCACTGCACCGGATTCCTCAGGCCATGTTACAGTTGGTTAAAAGAAGTTTCTCTCTGTGTTCATAGATGGACATGGCTCCCAGTCCTGGGGTGCTGCGATGCTTTTATTTAGCCTTAACAAGGGCTATGGCTCCTCTATTTTTGCTTTTTCTATTCCCATTAGTTTTTTAGTGTTAAAGTTTAAAATTTACTATTTCCAAAGACCCATGTGATAGTGTGAGGTATTTGTCACATATCAGAAAAGAATGTGTTTTCCTTTTGTAAACACTGGCAAGTCAGTAGTAATTTCCCTTTGCCCCTTGGTCTGTACTGACCATGGGTGACAGGCTGCTTGTTATGGGGCAGTGGTGCAGCCTCGTGGCCATGAGTTCAAGTTCCAGGCATCTTTGGAGCATTCAGTGAGACACTATGTAGTATGCTTAGAACAGTGCTTAGTCTGTGACACTCAAAATGTTAGTTGCTGTTATTAACACTAATAATAATAAGCTTTAAAAGAGAAAGTCAGATTCCTGAAATAATTTTAGTTTGGAAGGTAACACCACACTCTGAACTTCAGTTTGAAAATAAAGAAGAAATTGAGCTGAAGGAAAGCTCATTTATGATAGAAGGTTTTCCATACCACTCTTCCAGGGCTTTTAGTAAATGCAAATTTAATTTTCATATAAGATGATTAAGCCAGTGAAATTGCTCTCAGGCAGTGAACATGTTTATTGAATGCAAGGTGATGATGCTTCTCAGCCCTGAGCTCAGGTACACACTGTCCTTGGAGGTGTACCCCTTCCCTTGCTCTCAGTCTTTTCCTTTGGGTAATAATAGTAGTTCCAGATGGCAGGTTCCTTCCCATTTTCCTTCGTGGCTGAAGTGGTTATGAACCAGAGGAACAGTGAGAAGTGCAGTGCGTGGGTTGATGAGCCCTGTGTGCCCTGTGCAGCCTGCAGACACGGTGTGAGCCTGAAGGTAGAGTTAATAATTCAAACCAACAAGCACCAAGGACAGCGGCGGTGAGGCCCCGCCTGGAGCAGGAGGGCCGGCTTGCCAGGGCTCCCTTGCCCAAGGTAATTGATGGAGCGATCCTGGTGTCTTCAGCATCCTGGAGAGTGCGGCAGCCTGGCTGCTTTTCCCGGGGGAGGTTTGCAACTTGGCTTTCAACTTTCACTTGTAACGCTCTGTCATTCATGGTAAAGTGGAAACACAAGACGTATTTTATTTTTATCCAACAAAAAGTTGGGGAGCACTTTCTGGGTGCCAGGCATCCAGGTCAGGGAGCGCAGGTCCCCCAACATCTTTCCCTGGGGGCGTGCACCCTCCTAGAACTTGTCCTGGGGAGCCCAGTGCAGTGAACAGGAAGCAATCCGCTGGCCCCGTACTGTGTAGATGCTGGTACACCAAAGAACAGCAATGAAAGGAGTGAGGGTCCTTTTTAGATCTGTTTTTAAAAATGTAATAGATTTTTAAAAAAGAAGAGTTTTAGGTTAATGGGAAAGAATCCCTGAGCACCTAGGTTCCGAGCAGTCTTCTCCCTCTGCCAGAGTTGCCCTGTTGCTGACAGCTGACATTGGGGTGGTGCGGGGGCCTTCCAGCCGGTAGTGCAGGGAAGGCTGATGATCCACCTTCGGTCCCAGACCCCCTTACCTGTGGCCCAAGGCCTCTGGTCTAATGGAGTTATTCCCACTCTAGCTTCCGAGTAGGGTTCACACTGTACCACTTTCCCTTTGGTTGGATTGGTTCTTGAACCCACCAATTTTATAACTGACTACACCAAAATACAACAGTTTCCCTGGTGTAATACGCTATTTTTTCCCACACGTTTAGTGAGCATTTATTATGCCTCCAAAGCACAGTGTGGACACTGGCGGACAAGGATTTGCTCTCGGAGACCTTTCCACCTGATGGAGCAACTGATGATAAACGTTCAAGTGGGGTGGTGGGGCTGGATGCACTGTGCTCTGGCCTGGGTGTCAGGGCACAGCCTCCGTGCAGAGGTGGTGGCTGAGCAGGGAGCTGCGGACAGGCGGGGCACAGGGAGTGGACATGTGAAGATTCAGTAAAACATTTCTGTGCAGAAACCCAGTGGCTATGCAGTATGGAATGTTTTCTCTGGGCCATTATGGATGCTTTCCTCTCTTCTATTTCCTGTTTCCTATAGTAGGAGGCACAAGCTGTAGCAGGCATGAGAGTTAAGTTAAGAGATCGTCCCCAATGGTCACGTTCTCTGGGAACCGTAGTGCTGACTGTTTCCCAACCCGGTTCTTCTCCACTGCACATGTCAGGCCCACTCTTTGGGTTCTGGGACTTCTTAATTCGTGCCATTGTCCTGGGTGCTGAAACCCCGCAGTTACTGAGGTAATGCAGGTAAAGCTTTCAACCCTTGGTAAAGATAAGCTCTTTTTCCTCTGGCTTCTTGTCCCCTTAGGTTTTTCTTGCTGATTCCCGAGCCATGCTATCTTCTCTTTCTCTGAATGTACACACTTTGAGAACAGGGAGCAGCTCATGCAATCTTGGTTCTTTTCTCAAGGATATGATCCCTGTATGCAGTTCCCTCTGTCCTGTATCTTCCAGAGAATGTATCTGGGGTGGGGAGATTCAGATGGGAAGACAGCGACAGAGGACAAGAAGGTAGTGTCCTCAAAACACGAGTTGCACCAGTGGCTCTGAAAGCTGTGTTTTCTTTATCTGCATGACTCATTATGACAGATACGCCACCACGTGCGAGCAGTTCCCATTTGGAGATTGAATTACCATCCTATTCAGCTGACACAGAGCAGTTCCTGGCTGGGCCAGGCAGCCATGAATAAGTAAATAGTCTTCCAGCTTGATGTGGAGCACAAACATCAAAGGGCTGGGAAAGGCTGGCACCCCAGGGGACAGGATGCAGTTGCTGCCTGGGTGGCCCGCACTAGTCGGCCTGCTTCTCTAGAGCGCCAACCCCCTGCATCTTGTAAGTACCCTCTTTGGGGTCGGGGGTGAGTCTGATGGGTTGACGAGGGCCTAGACACCGGGTCAGGATGTGCCCAGCTCGGGAATGAGGAGCACCCTGGTGGGTGAGGGATGAGCAGGGATGGAGTTCGTGATAAGCCCTGGTTCCAAAGCCTCTGTTCTTGATTGTGGCTCAGTGACTGCTGCTGCCCTATGGGCATTTGCTTCCAGATTTGTCCACAGGCCAGGATCAAGTTAGGAAGGGTTTTCTGGGCTAAGGTTCAGTCACTGGGTGGGCCGCAAGCACTGCTTCACTCAGGACGAAGCGCAGCAGAGTTGAACATGTGGCTGGGCTGGAGGCTCCACGACCTGTCCTCTCCACCTTCTCCCCGCCAGAAACTTCTGTTCCTCTTGAAACTGAGGTTGGTTTTGCTCGTTTAAGCATTCCATCATTGGTGTTAGAAACAGCACATATTCAAAGCTACCATGTCTCCAGTGGGAATTTTTACCCATTGAAGTTGATTTTGGGGCTGCCTTTTCCACTTTGTTAAGCTCAGCTAACAAGAGCAGGTTTTACATCATGAAGGCTTTAAACAATGAACACCACTGGCATTTTTATTTCATGTAAGTCCAACATGAGTTGAAGTAATATATGTGAAATGCCAGGAAGCCCATGATGGTTGTTAAGGCCAGTGGATTCTTTTTTTTTGGTCTTTTCTGTGGAGGTAAATAGATGGGTGAAGTGACTTGAGTCTATTCCAAACATTAAATGGTGAGAACAGGATCCTCCCTCATGCAGTCAAATTCATTTTGTGCTCTGTGGTGAACATGTTTACAGGGCAGAGCTGGTGGGCAGTGCTTTTCATGGTGTTTGATGGCAGCAGGGAAGTGTGCATCCATAAATCATTGCTTTTCTTTCTCTACCTGCCCAAATGGCTCTTAATTATGGCTGCATATGAAGTGGAGTTGTGCTCTATATTCAGTTTTTTTTCTGAGTCATTAGAGTTGGTTATGCACAGCCCCTCAAAGGCATTATCTTGCTGGACCACTTCTGAATTAATAATAATCATACTTCACATGTAACCACATGGAGTAGTTCTCCATGCTCTATAATCATTAACAAGCTCACCAGTCAGCTTGGTGAGAGGGAGACACATCAGAGCTGCTTTGCCCCTCTCATGAGTGGGCGGGGAGGAGGGCAGAGGGCAAAGTTCGAAGGTGGTTGAAGAGGCACAGCCCCTGAGCCTAGAAAGATGAACGAAAAAGAGGTGAATTTACTTATTCTAGGCAAGAGCACTGATGTTTGCTAACTGCATTGAGAGGCTGGGAATTATTGTCCTACCTAAAATTATTTTCTCTTTTATAGAATCAGGAAATATTTGCATAGCTTGCAAGTTATCATGGTTTCCTGTATTTGGATTTTTTTTTATGTTATCCTGAACTGCTTCTCTGAGAGAAAATGATTCCTTAGAGGGACAAAACAGGTTGTAGGCTGGTGGCCCTGAGTTCTTGGGTAATTTGCATTAAAAGGAGGTAGTGGTTCTGGGAGGCCTTGCTGAGCCCTGAGCTTGATTCACTTTCCTCTGGCCACCGGCCTGGGTGTGGAGACCTACCCGCACCTCTCCTTGCCCATTGCAGCCATTCCCACTATGCTCATAGCAGGTGGGCCAGTGGAGTTACATCAGATGATTTTAGAAGGATATAGACTTTTTAAAAGAAAGATGTTATTTGACAGCTGTTTGTTTCATGTAATTTAGAGAAAAGGTAAGCATATCAAATGAGTTAATGTAATAGTGTAAGATTCCCTTTGAAACAAGATTCATATGTAAAGACTTCAGTGGGCTCCCAACGTAGACATATGCACACCTGCCTTTGAGTTCCAACTGTATTTTTAAGTTTAAAGTGCACATAATTAATAAGTCAGTATTACCTAAAGGTGCATAATAAAGCCAGCCATTTCTTGCCTTGGCTTCTTTCTGCTGTGCATCCCTCTAACCCATATTTAACATTTCTAGTGGTTTCTTCTTGAAATTACCTCAATAATTCTCAACAATATGCCCCCATTGCTATTTTTGACTTAACCATTTTTCATAAGTCACAAGTAGTGCCTCTTGTTATGGTAGATAAGTGGTTCTCAAGCAGGGGAGATTTTGTCCCCCAGGGGTTGTGTCTGGAGATAGTTTTTGTTTGTCACAACTACCGGCATCTGGTTGTTGCAGCAAAAATGCTGGTGAACATCCTACAGTGCACACTCATGTCTGTAATGCTGACGTGCGGAAGTCCTGGGGTAGCTGAAGATCTAGTGCTTTCTTTAAACCCATTCCAACCTACACATATACTCAAATTACCACTTTAGTTAAGTCAATAATGAGTGTTTGCATTGTTATTTCATATATATTGCTAACTGTAGTAGCAGTGATTCTGATTACATTTCTCTCCTTGTATAGCTTTTACTTTTCCTGGAATTATTAATTGCCTTATTTTCAGTTGTGTCTTTTGCAATCCACATGCTGAAAATTCTTTCCCAGTCCTTTAACAAGTCAAAAACTTTTCTGGAGTCTCCCTTTTCACAACATACTTTACTTGTAAAACCCGCTGTCTTCTTGTTCCAAGCGGATTGCTCTACATTTGAGGCTTTTCCTGTCACCTTGAAGTTTCTCTGTCACTGTTTACTAGGATATACTATTTCTTAGATTCTGTGGCTTTCTCTTTTATTTTTTTTCCCACTTATTTTACATATTCTTCAGTCATTTTCTGAAAAAGAATATGTTGGAGGTAAATGAGTTTTTACGTATATGGCAAAGTCTCTTCTTTGCTCTCGCACTTGATCACCTGCTTGTTTGGGTATAGAATCTAAACTGGAAATAATACTCAATTAATATTGAAGGTGTTCTGCTGGCCTCCAGGATTGCTTCTGAGAAGTCTGATGCTCTAACCCACTTTTCTTCCTTTTAAAAATCCCACCCATTTAAAAAAAAATCTTCATACCGGGAGCATTTAGGGACTTATCTTTCCCATTCGTCTTGTCAAATCTCATGATGCTCTTTGGTGTGGGTCTTTTTCCATCCACTTTGCAGAGCATGGATGAGATCCTTTAATCTAGAAAATTTTCTTGAATCTTCCTGACAATTTCCTTCTCCATATTTTCTCTTTCTGGAAATCTTATTCATAAAAGTTGCACCTCTTGGATTGATCTTTAAAACCTTTTCTTTTTCCTTTATGTTTTATGTCACTTTGAGAGAGTTCCTGCACTTTATCTTCCACCTATGCCACTTAAATTGTTTCATTTTGGCAGCTACTTTCGCATCAGCAAGATTTGTTCTTTATGGATGCTTTATAGCACCTTGTTCTTTTTCTGTTTGTAAGGTTTCTTTTGGTTGCCTGGGTCATCTCTCTTTCTTCTGGCATTTACCTTTATGTTCTTTGAGGTTTTTTAATGTAGTGAGTAATCCTTGCTGCAATGAGTTTGGAGCAATGTCTGGACAGCTTGGTGGAAGCCAGTGGGCCTTGTTGTGAAGGGCTCACTCCATGTGATTGCAGGGAACAGAACATTTTGTGGTAGAAGCTCCTAATACCACTCTCTGGGGGGCTCTGCGCTTGGGTTACTGTCTGCTGATGTGGTATTTCCAGTCTTCAGCCTAGTTTGAAGGGGGTGGGGGGAAATGCCTGACTCCCTCCTTTATTCATGTGGGGCTGGAGCAGGGTCTCATAGGCAGACTCCGTTAATTTGTTTCCAATTTGGTGCATCCCTGTTGTGAGCTCCACCTGCTGCCTCTGCCATTAACTCCAGGAAATAAACCTCCAGTCTCCTGTCTAGACATCTTCCCTGCACATCTCCTTTGCCCATCTTTCTAAATCTTATTAAAATCTAGCTTGAATTAAAGTTATACATGCATGTTCCGGCTTATCCTGTCAGACCGTGGGTCCTGAAAGGACTTAATCTTATTAATCTTTGAGTCTAACAACTGCCAGGAACTTTGTAGGTACTCAGAAAAAGTTTGCTGTATTGAAATAAATTGAATTTTAGTCATACAGACTGTTTTCCTGTTCTGATTTCCAGGCTGAAGCAGATGTACTCTTTATTCTTCCACCAGCCCAGGCTGCTTACCTTGAATGCTGGACACTTACAAGCTTTTTGGATGAAACCTAAGATAATTCAAGTTGTCATTTTATTCTGTAATTCTAAGTTTAAAAACATTTTTTTAACAAAAAAGGAGAGAAGCAAAAAGAACTTCTGATATGTTGATTGTTTATGACAACTTGAAGCTCTACTGAAATATGGGAATTTCTGTTGGTGGCAAGATGGGAATTCTCCATGGGTTTGTAACATGCAGCATCCTTGTTGACTTTTATATTGATTTTTATTGATTAAGTTGACCTATTTTAACACTTCTCGTGACATACTGGGCATCAGTCATGTTTACTTACTTATAGATATGTATGGAGCAAGCGCGATGTTGACTTGTAGCCTCCATTCTGTGCCAGTGGTATGTCATACTTATGCAAAGAGGGGTAATTGGCACAATTTCTTTTGGCATATTCAGGAACTTGGAATTTAATGCAAAGAGTCATGAAAGCTTTGTGTCAGGGTGTGCACATATTTTTGCATTGGTCTACCCTGGGAAATTTGGTTGAAGGGAAAGAAAACTGTCAGGCTCTGAAGACCATGCTCTAAGTGTCTGCTTTTGTCAGTCAGCCCTTGGGGCTGTGAACTGGATGATGAGAGCATATCTCCTGACTTTCTCTGTGTCTTAGGCATAGAAGAAGGTGAATGAGGCAGAAAAACTACCTTACAAGCTGTTCTTTTGTGACAGAAGATCATATGCTTCTTCCTACAGTTTAGAAATGACCCATCATACCTGAAAACCATGGGTTCAGAAGATACATTGATCAGACCCACCCTTTGAAAGACCTGCTCAGGAATTTCCCACTTCGTGTCCTGAGACCAGGGACCCAGGTGCCCAGAGCAGAGCTTGGTGGTAAGTTGTCCTCTCTTCTTTCTGAGGCCCCGTCACCTGGCCAGTCAGGGGCTCTCTCCATCTCTTCATTGTTTAATGGTCTGTTTGAGACATGCTCATCCATGCCAGCTGTTCATCAGGTGGTTGGGTTGGGCAGGATGGTAACAAAGCAAACTTCCGTAGTCACCGGGTGGGGGCAGGGCAAAGGCCCCGAGGCAAGAAAGAGCTTGATGGGTGAGATGTGGTTGCCCAGACACAGATGGAGAGAGGTGGATATGGGTGGTTCATTGGAGACCTTATAGGTCGTGTTAGGATATTGATTTTAAATCTCAAGAGAATGGCCAGCCAGTAGTGACAGATTTCAGGTGAGAGTGATATGATCAAATTTGCCTCCTACACAGATCACACCAAATTCAAGTGTGGTAGCAAAGACTGGAGGCCACCACATGGTCCAGATGGGCAGCAGTGTTGTCCTGGACCATGGTGTTAGTGGAAGTGAAAGGCATTGGAGAGAATCTAGATGTGCGGTCACGTGGTGTGAGAAGGGGTAGGAAGGGGTGATCAGCGTGACTTCAGACTTTTGGCAAGGACCACATAGCTGGTGGGATGGGGGGTGCCATTGCCTAAGATAGAAAGATTGAAGGAGAATCAGATATGTAGGGAAGATTCAGATTCAGTTTTACACTGAAACTCTGTTTTGAGGTTGAGTTATACCTAAGCACAGGGGAAATCAACAGTTAGATGCCCAGGCCCATAGACAGGAGAGAAATCTGGGCTGTCTTGCTCATTCTTTTTTTTTTTAATGAAATGTTGGTTTGAGGGTTCCTCTGCAGAAGCGTGATCTGCAAACAAAACAGTGATTCACTCCACATGGCCGTGAGACGATTTTAGGTGGTAAAAGAAGTAGCTGATTCTTTCTGCCAAAAGTTGTCACGTAGCAAGTGGCTGGCCAGGCGCTGGTCGCTATGGTTGTTATGCAAAAATTTTGAGCATGAAGCAGATGGTGAACCAGCTGAACTTTTGGTGCCCCTGCCTGGCGTGGCATTGGGGACTGCTCCTGGTAGAACAAAATGGGCTTAGATCTCACATTCCAGTAAACACGATGGTGGTCACCATGGTGGTGGAGGACATGGCGGTCATGGTGGTGGTGGCGGTGGAAACTGTGATGATCATGGTGGCTTGGTAACAGTGGTGGTAGGAATGGACCCAGCCAGCATGTGCTCAGTAGACTTAAGTTCACACCTAATTCTCTGGTTTCTATTTTATGTTCATTTTCCCTGGAAGGAGGCAGAAAGGGGCCTTATGTGAAACTCAGCTGTTTTGGATATAGGATATGCACTTGGTTACCATTTTTCTCCCATCACTAGAGAGCCAAAAATGATCATCATTTAATTAGTAAAGGCAGGGTCCTTGGAGGTGGGGGGATGCCTGGAAAATATTCGAAAACACTGTCTTTCATTGTTACCATAAAAGTATCAGTTTCTTTAAGGGATATCATTCATAACAAGAGACATATATCTGCACGCCTGCAACAGGCAGACTGTGTCCTTAGGAACACTTTCAAAAGGGGCATGTCTCAGCTGAGCGCTGCGGATTATGATTTTTGTGTACTTTTCTCAAGTTCATTTATTCTATATGGCCTGGAGACTGAGAAGTTACTCTGTTCTCTTGGGGTATAGGCAGTTTATTCCAAGAGCTTATTCATTTTAATATTTTTCATTTTGGTCATCGTGGGGTTGAAAGGTGCAGAGAGGAGTGATGTGCATGTGTGTGGATCTTTCCTATATTTGGAATGGGCTGATCTGTTTTTTTTTGATAGATTGTTGGCTGCCCGGAATTGCAGATGCATCATTAAGTTATTGCATTTAAATTTAGCTCTGTTCTCACTTTGGAAGGGAATGGAATGTCTGAATTACTTCACCACGAGGGGAAAGCAATTAGCACATGGCTCTCATGACTTATCAAAATAGGTCTGGCCAGTGAGTCTCAGAGGGGCTGCACGTTTGACTCGGGGTGGGGAGGCTCCCTGAGAATCCTTCCAGCCGGAGGGAGGTAAAATTGCAGCAAACACACCTTGATGTCCAGTAAGGTTTACACTCTCCGAGGGCAACATTTTATGTGCAAATCTGTAATGATCTTTATTCTCAATACAATCTACCCATTCCTTCAAATGGGCCAGGCATGGTATTCTTCACATACACGTGTATGTGTGTGCCTACATACACAGTCTAACAACCTGACCTGGTATATGTAGGTGCTCAGTAAATATTTGTTGAAACCAGGAATCACAGGGAGAAAATGGGCTCATGCCATCTGTTCTTTATTCTCCCTGAGGTGAGTGGCATTGTCCTGCCTCCTGGGTTGGCAGATAAGACTGTTTGCTCAAAGCTGTGAGCCCTTGGAGCAGAGATTATGTCCAAGCCGTAAGTAGGGTCAGAGAGAGAGGGATTTTAGCTTCTCTGCCTCTGAAGGGAATTTTGTCAGGACAGTGTCAGGACAGGCTGACAGGCTGTGACTCAGCCTGGTGAAGGCATTGCCTAAATCCATTGACCAACCCAGGATTGCCAGAGTTTTATACAGGTAACAAAATAGACAAAAGCAATCAACAAAACCCAGATGCAATCATATGTTTACTAGAAAAACATAGAATTATGTATCAGAAAACATTATAACTATGACATTAACCAATGGTTTCATGGTGGCAATATAAAGTTTCCCTTTTCAGTATCTTTATCTCCATGAAACATGTATGCCCATTTAAGGAAAAAGTTAACAATTGGCACACAGATGACAAACTCGAGGTGTCCGGGGCAAGCCAGCCACTGACAGCCTCAGGGTGCATCTCCGTGAGCTCAGTGGTTCCTGAGCTCCAGAACCAAACCTGCAGGATGAGCCAACAGCTCCGCCCCACGGTTCCCGACCCAGTTCTTGGGGGGCCTTGAGACTGGCTGCCTCACATAATGTTGTTTGTGGGGCGACATCTATTTAAAATGGCTCTTAACTTTGTTACTCTTTGTGTACTATTAAAGCAATTATGTATTTTACTCCATTTTGTTGCCATTTATTTTTTAAGTGGACAAGTCAAACTGGAAGGGCTCTGTTGATGCTGATGTCTTAGTGCCAGTTACAGCTGGATGGTCGGTAGCGCGTGTGGTGCTGGTGCGTGCGGTGCACCGCGGGGCCGGGTGCACTGACCACCCTGTTTGCCTGCAAGGGTGACAGAAAGCCAGAGCCGGTGCAGCCGTGCCCACAGTGGCTTCCGCCACTGCGGTACAAGCCACATCTCAGCGGCACATGTGCGTCCTGAGAGTGTATTTCACTCTGGTCCCTTGGCAAACCCAGATGCTGGGATGTTGGGGACTTGATCCTCTTTTCCTGCAGAATTCATATATATATTTATTAAACATTTTTTCCTAGTTTCCCTCCAGAATGCTTATTCGTGCGCCATATGCTTAGGTGACCTGTGTGCCCTGTCCACCCTCTCTCCCCGGATAACCAGGGGCAGACGCCTACAGGCCCACAGCGAGGCCATTTTGGGTTTTGATGGTTTATTAAA